AGATGTTTGTGGGCATTATACTTTCCAAGAATCAAGGCTACTTCTAAAGTCAAATTTATCCAAGTTAACAGTCTGGAGCCTTAATTGCTGTTGCTGTTAAGTGCATTAACTGAAAATACTGTGATACAAAAAGCCAAAATAATTTCAACCATTTTAAGCAATAATTCTGCAGAATTTCTGTGTTCATTAATATGACTACACATTTTTTGTCTTTTTGACTACAATCCCTAACAAGTGATTCAATGTGATTACATTACTATTATTCCTGGTGAGAACTCTGCATTACAGCAGTTTGCCCATTTAGGACAGAATATCATTAAGAATACCGTGGGAGAATTTTACTGGTCTTTGAGGAACTCTCTTTTCATTCTGCATTGTATTCTTTCTAATAAAGGAAGGCAGAAATGTAGTGAAAACAGTAATTGTTCACAGCAAGAGTTAGGGAGAAATCAGTAATAATATTCAGTTATTGAAGCTCTATAGTCCCTGCTAGTGTTCCTGTAAGCAACCATGAATGATTACAGCACGACTTAGCTAAGGTAGCCACTATGGATGATTAATAGGACATTAATCAAAAGATGCATATCAGGCTTAGAATTTGTTCACAAGCTTTCTTCTAATAGCTGATTTCATGTTCACTGAGCTCTATGCCAGTTTGTTCAATTTATTCTTCAGTGTACAAGCCATTCATCAAAGAACATAATGATTTAACACCCCTTTTCCTTTTTAGTGAACAAACATTGCTAAGTGTAACTACTCTGGTCTGTTCATTAAAAAACACACAATTACACTGCCACAGATGAGGTTGAAAACAAAGCCTCTTTACTATACCTGGTGTTTTTTGCTTCCACACATACACTGTGAGTTCACCTCATACACTCAAACACTAGACGGCACCATCCTGAAGATGCTGTCAAATTCACCAAGATGAACAAACACGACACACAAACAGTTTGAAGTATTTTATTTCTCTGTGAGTGGTTAAAGCCTAGGACACATTCACCCTTCAGATAAGTGAGTTTAAAAGAAAAAAATAAGTGGACTGATTTCACTGGCAGTTCCAAGCACACGGCAGCCTTTGGAAATACAGGCTGAGTTTTGGGGGTTTTTTGACGTTTTTTTTTTTTTTTCCATTTGACCATGCACAATACCTATCTTTGCAAGTCCAGGTTCACAATTTTCATAATTTTCTTCTGACTCTACATGGTAAAAAGACAATTGTGCGACTCCAGAAATGCAGTGCTTAAACATTAAGTAAGTATACTTCCTATTCCCTTACCTCCATAAATTAAAATGGCCTCTGCCAAAAGGATAGATTTTTCCTCCATGAGATGCCCTTGTTACCTACATCTGTCTTCACACTGTACAAGCAGTATCCACAAAGAGGATGTTAAGCCAGGCATTAACAAAATGGTAAAGTACAATAGAGGACACAGAAATCATCTTAGCAAAAGATTCTTACTGGAAAACAGTGACACCAGCACTAGATGCATCAAGACACAGCTGGACAGATGTGATAGGGGAAGGAGGACTCCTTTTTTTCTTTAGTATCTTTCTTTTATGCTGTGCTCATCAGCAATGGTTGAGTCTAAGGGACTAGGATTTTCCTATGGAGCCTGAAAACCTGTACTTCATTCCCTCTACCTCCAAACTTCAAACATCTCAGAATGAAATGAAAAGGTGATTGTGAGGGAACAGAGGAATAGCCAGCACAGCCAAGGGGAGTAACTCAGAAATGGAGACAATGCTTCAGCCATCAGGGTGACTTCTTAAATAGCTCAGGTAGCTGCCTTCAAATAACAATTCTCTCCAGCTGTTTCTGGAGAGCTCCTCATAAGGCAAGGTGACCTGGCTGGGTTTAATGTCACTCGCATGCAAGATATTGTCACTGGGCAGCCTGAGGATTTTTCTGATTTGAACAGATCAGAAGGTTCTGAAGAGAACAGAAGGTGGTAGGTCTTTCTCTGCCTTTCAGAATCTATACAATAAAGTTAATGTTGAGGGCCAAAAAGAAGAAAAATAAATCAAAGCCCTCAACATTTGCTGGTGTGGTGTGCTCTACTGGGAGGGGAAGGCCTGAATTCCTGCCCTCCTTCCCAAAATTTTGCACTGCACTTTGTTCAGCAACTCCTGAATACAGGATGGAAGGGGGATCTCTGTAGCCCAGAGCCCCATGTGATCCCTCGGCCTTGACCAGCAGCCACATGTCCTCCTGCTGGCCCTACCAAGTTCACACTGCTTCCTAGCCAGATGGCCAGCATCAGCAGGAACGATGGACAGTGGCACCAGCTGCCCTTTGTCCAGTTGTTCCAATCATGTCCACTTATAAAAGTGCAGCAGTGAACCCACCTAAAATTGATGCCCCAAACCAGTAAACAAGACCTGAAAGTAGTAATTTTGAGACTCTGGAACTACTAAAACTAACACCGGTTTTTCAAAAACAATGAGTAGTTCCAGAGGCCTCATTTTGAGCCAAGTTTCTTTTAAGACAGTTTTAAGAGGCTGCATTTCAGAAAAGGAGAGCTCAAGGCCTCCAAAATCCAGACACCAGAAGAACATGAGAATCCTGCTCCAATTGTTTATGTTTTCCAAAACACCAGCCACTTCTAAAAACTCTTGGATTCACAGAAATGTAAATGAACTATGAATCTTTTCCTTCCATCTACCTACTGAAATATGAAAATTTACACCACTGGCGGCAATTTCATTTGTATTTCTGTTACAGATTTTAAACGAAATAGAAAAAGAAAAGAAGATGAAAGCATGTATGGCCACTAAAAATTTCATGCCAGTTATCTTTTTAGTTGTTGAGTTTTATGAGGAATAAGGGTTAGAAGAAACATGCAATATTTCTGCTTAAGCATTCAATAACTCATGTACACTGACAGAAAAGCTCATAAGTGATATATAATTTATTTTATTATACTGTGGGCTTCTGTGTCGCTCTGTCATTCTGTCTGTCTCTCTTCTCCTCATCTGCAAAGTTTCAAACCCTCTTCACTGGAGGTAATGCAGGGCAGTGGACTACATTGCAATTACATGAGCACATCAAATTTTAAAGAACAGACTTGAAGAAGAAAAACAGACGTTATAATCAAAACCAAATCTTGTGGCTACTTTGTGGCTGTCCTCCTAACAAGGTCGTCCAGTTTCTGGTCACAGCTGCAGAATTTACCACAAAACATCTGTGAATTAAAGTCAGGAAAAAATCATTCTTTCTTATACATTGCATAAGAAGAAGGCAAAAATGCTGAGGAGATTCCAATTTTGTAAATACTGCAAGGACTGTCTCACTGTATCACAGTGATTTTCTTCCCAAAAACTCTGAAGGAATCCTCTTTGGGTTATAAAATGCAAAGTTCTGCAAGATCTCATGCATGTAAATCTTGCACAAGTATCTGTGTGCTTTCCCCTTTCTGGTTCTGCCTTTGCAAGGTTTTAGGACAAGAGCTTCCCAAGCATGTTAATGAGGGAGCATTAAATGAAAGATAAAGGGGAACAACTTGAAAGAGTAAAAAAAAAGCATTTGTGGACTTTTAGAATAGCTGCAGACTTAGCCAGCAGGTTCATATGTGACTAGACAAATCCAAAGACAACAGGTCCATACTGAAATACTGAAGGGAACAAGCAAGACTGTATACTTTGGGGTTGATAACCTAAAGAACATTGATGCTGGGAGAGCACTAAGAGAACAAAAGTGAATAAGCAAGGGAGTTCATGTGCTTCTTAAATAGAATCCCTGTCTTAACCATGAGGGACACACTAACTAGACTAACACCTCTAGTTTGACCCAGTGGGGTATTTCTGATGTTTTTAATTATTTTTTTCTTCATTTTTAAACTTCAGAAAGATAAATTTTTTGCTTTGAGGTGTCTTTATTTATTCACATAGAACAGTATTATGTTTACCATATTTCAAGTTTGTTTCCTATCCTCTATCTTAAAT